AGAAAAAATACCAAAGATTAAAACGCCTAAAGAAACTTCTGTTAGAGCATGTTGAAGGTTTAGTCCATTGAAATCACGATGATCTAACAGTAGACTAATGTCGCTACCAGAAAGTAGAAACTGTGAATCTTTTATTGTTTTCTCTGTCCAAAGCTGTCGACCAAGGTTTTCACTGGAATATATTATTTGCAGAGAATAAACTATTTCCATCTCTTATGAGAGCGATCTAATAAAATATAAGATGACTTGACATGGTAACAAATAGCCGCATGATGATTATTATTCCCTTTCTATCACTTCATATCCTTGTGCAATCTGAAAGAACGAGGTATGCATGTTGTATAAAAATGCACACGCTGATAGCTCTACAAGTCTAGTTTCTGCAGAAATTACTTGGAATGCATTTTCTGCAACATGCGTCCAGAAAAATATATTGAACATTTTTGTTGTTCCAGAAAGTGAACATTTCGAGTCTCTTTCTCATATCAACGAGATAATGAAAAATCATGACAAAGTAAATACAGCAAGAAGAATTAGTCCAAACTATCGAGCAATAATATTACCAGGATGCAGCAACTAAAAGCAAAACTCAGTGACGTTAAAGTACTTGCTGCAATGCTTTCAATGCACAAAGGCAAGCATGAAAAGGCTTCATCTGGAGCAGAAGCTTTCTTTCCAATGTTTCTGCAGTCGTACCATGCTAAGCAAATGGCAGCACTAACTATAATATCAATAGGTAGATCTATATCACGTTCTACAACTTGTGCTCCTTCTTTCTCCAGTGCCAGGATCCTCTGGTATGTTCTTCTCCAGGATATGACCATTTCTTTGTCAAAATTTTTAGTGTTCACAATTATGACAATATTGTGAGGAAAGGGCTTGCACGAGTTAATTTCTTTTGATTCCAGAGGCACTGGCATGGATTTAACAGGCATCATTGAGCAGACCTCATCATCATTTACATCTTTGACAAGTCCATTGTTGTAGGTCTCCTCGATAGGCACAAAGTTTAATAGGTCTTCCAACATATTTTTACTCTCAGTTTGAGCAGAGATAGAATGAATATCTGCATCCTGGAAACATGATAAAACTTTGAAACATGACTGCTAAATAATACAAAGCAAGTGAAGTGTGACTATGACTGACCATAAAAATGACACTTGAGATAAAAATTAGTAGCATTATGGAAATGATCACATAAAATTTATTGAAGCTATTTCTTTTCAAGAAAATTCAACAATGCTGTTCATTAAAAAAAACAAAGGAATTATGAGGAGATTGAAGAAATCCAGGAGCAGAAGCCAAATCATGGAATACTTGTGCTGTTGTTCATGTCCATGATAATGATCCAGACCAAATATGATCCTTGGCAGAACTAAGTATGATCACCTTTCTTGTATCGATAGAACCTTCATTATATCTTGCAAGTGACCGAATTGCCAAATTTCTCCTTGTTCATTTAAGAATTATCCTATCAACAGGAAAAGGACATAACTGGTTTTGTTTTCCTTCTTTCTTTTCTTCTTTCCCTCTTATTTTCATATATATATGTGTGTGTGTGTGTGTGTGTGTGTGTCTTTTGCTTGGGGGAAGAAGAAGTCAGATTCAACTACAGCTTCTACAACTCTTATGACGCACCAATAATACATACCTAGTCATCCAAGGAGCGATATAGTTTTGAAAAGATTATTTGTACAGTAACTTTGCAATAGCATTATACTACATCAAAAATCATTAAGATAAGGGTAGGACGACCAGTGTTTAGTGGAGCAGAACACAACTATGCATGCATTATTTACATTTATATAGAAAGAAGCCTTAACATAAAAAGTGTATGTGAGTCCATGTGCATTCCACCAATTCAAAACCTAAATGAAATATAGAATCCAACAAGTATGCACATGTCACAGCCCTTCTCGTTGCATGACCAAAAAAGTACAGAAATTATTTCAACGTAACCATTTGAACATGATACCATGCATGTATGAAAGTGATTCTTTCTTGAGAAGTCAGATACTTCTGACACTTATACCACAGACTTTGCAGATAGAAAAATACATCAAAGCATGCCTTATGCCTGAAGTATAATATGCGTGCATCTTAACAATGAGACATACATCGGAAGTACAGGAGATTATATAGATGTTGCATTTATTTCAACATATACCAATGCCTATGTTTATGAGGACAATATGGATGGGAAAACTAGCCATGTTGTTAATGGTCAACACTCAAAAGCAACAGTATTACACGAACAGGAAAGATACTTGCCATCTTAAATTCACTATTCTTGGATATGTAAACGCCACAAGAAAGTGCTTTGGAAACACTGGAATCCTCCAGTTCCACCTTGAGAAAATAAAGAGGGGGCAACTGATCTAACTTTGGGCAGATGGTGGATATTATAGACGATCCATTTGAGCCTCCATATTCCAAGACAAAGCCAAATTCGCGGAAGGGAAATGATGCAGAAACATATCTGGAGACCAAAAAAGAAAAGAAAATCTTTATCTAATGGCTTTAGGATGGTCCAAGTGCTGTCTTCAGATGAGGGAAAATCTATACAGATAATAAAATAAGGGAAAAGAATGGACAACAGAGTGACTCTCCAGTAAACAAACTTATATTATTACATGAGATTCCAAATATATAATTGTTTAAATCACTATCATAGCAAAAATAAATATCGACTTGATTTTGATCTTAAGGACTCACACTTGGAATTAAACATTTCTACTTGGCTAATCTCCTAATTAGGTTTTCACTTTTCACTCCGTATTAGCGCGGAGCAAAGAAAAGTGTCTGTCTCATGCATGAACTGCATTTCATGAGCCATCATGTACTGAAACTGGAAGATAGAATGGGATTCCTATCAATAAGATCTCTAGAAACATATCTCGAGATCAAGCTGGAAAAGAAAGAACCCCTTAGTTCCTCAGAAATGTTACTTCCCAGAATCAACCTGGGAATGTTTCACAATGTTAGGTAAAGAAGAGTTTGTCATGTTAAATCATTCCATCAAATTTACTTCTAAAGCGGCTAATACTTACTCAAAGGACACCAAACAACAATCCGAGGAAAGCATAGTATTTATTACGGTTTTTGTGATCTCAAGGCCCTGTTGACTTGCATGGGCAGAAAAATGGTGTAGCTCATTATATGATATCTTCATGGATGTCAACAGTCTCTTCAATGGCCACCAGAAAACTCGGTCAGCAACAATTAATATTTTCAAACTACTGCTGCTTAAATTTGTCTGCAAAATTTCATGCACAACAGAAAGGGAGGGATGGATTTCACATATTTCTTTCTCTGCCTTCTCGTTCGCATCTTTGATCAAGTTATACAGACAAATTAATCTGGATTTCAAGCACTGCAGGCTTCTGCACAACCTGTCTATGTATAGATATGTGGCATGGACTCCATAGTAACAGAGGTAGTAAGCCATCTGTTTAATTGCACACAACATCATCAACAACATAATATTATTGTCGTCGTGAGCTGAATAAGTACTTGGTGCACTTTTTTTCTTAAGAAGGTCCATGAGTTCTTCTTTAGGAAGGTAAAGTAGGGTCAGGTTCTCGCCAGATTGACCTAGCTGCTGACTCTGTTTCAACTCTGTGTCATTCTCCAATAGGGCCAAGAAGACTTTATAAAAATTATCAATGAGCAATAGAATATTTTCAGACAACTGTACTCGATGCAACCTGACATTCCACTGCTGTTGAACCTTAGTGGTAGCATTACAAGCAAAAGAATCATAATTGGAAAAAAGCAGTGGACACGTTGTAATAATATCAACTGACTTATCTGCAGGCTTACTTTCGTTTCCTGTGACATAATTACGGGGATTTAAGAAAAATTCAAGATCACTAGACATGGATTCAACAAACAAAGGAACCTTCTCAATGCCGGTTTCTGGTAACAGGTCTCCGTTTAACCTTTTTCTGTCTCCATGATTATGCAAACTATCAGAATCTTTTTCATCAACAGAAGTATGAAACATAGAAACACGAGCAGAAGGTAAGTTCAGCATTTCCTGGCAGTCTTCTGAGTTTGGTTTGTTGGAACAATCCTTAGAGAGAATAAAATCATTGATCTGTTTCCTACTATCCATCAAGTACACAGAAGCATCTATCTTGTAAGTATCTATCTCCCACAGCATTTTCCTACAAGAAGAATATTTACCAAAATTGTCTTCCTCAAGAAAATGCCAATCCAAATATAGACCATCAGATGTTGATGAAGACTGTGACTCCACCTGGGCTAATATTTGCTCAACCATTGAATGCAATGACCTAATTCTTTCATGGTCAGAAATAATAGGCACAGGTAATGATTTGAACGAGTCATCCATGAGAGTAAGTTCGTGACAAACTATCAATTTACCAAAATTCATAAAGTTCATATTTTCTCCAAACATGGATGCACATGATTCTGTTTCAACCTCTTTGGCTGCATCTGAGAAGAACTCACAAGAATAAGATGGATCCTGATCAAAGAATTGGAATTCTTCAAATAGACATGGGTTCACTGATCCAATTATATCACCACCTGCTTTCCCTTGATGGAATGTTGAGTACTCCTCATAATGTGGTTGTTCTAAAATATTTAAGTAGTCCATTTGTGATGAGAAATTTGAGCTGTGCAACTCAACTTCAAGGCACTGTACTGCTAAACAATGCTCTGATAGATATTTCATTAAGTCAAACTCTATGGAACTCAAAAGTTCTTTGCCATCACTCAATACTACATCTAGTTCTGTCCAATGCTGAGGTTCAATATTTTCAAAATCTAGAAGTACATCCTCCGTATGTATACTTCTGACAATACCCAGACTTTCCTCATCCACTTCAAAAGGGGGAAAGTGAATATCATGAAAATGAAGNCTGTATGCATACACTTAGAAGGGAAATACCGATTGAAGCAGGGAGAGGTCCATCTCTGGAATTTCAAATTGTGTAATGTCAATGATATTCCTACCCCCATGATCTGGTGTAGTTTCATCCTGATCCAAAGTAACACGAATACAGCGTGATTAATATCCTGACCCAAACTAAGTTGTACTAAGATGATAGCTTTATATACTTCAGGTAGAAGAGCTAATATGTTCTGATACTTCTATATTTAAATACCCAAATTATCCAGTACATTTTTTGTAATGCATATCTGAGTTCTTATGATAGTCAAGACTGCCATAAATTAAGAGTGAATTGAGAAACATCATTGATAATTTGACGCGATTTTCCTTTTAGTATTCACCCTTTCAGATAAAATGTTTACAAAGACACAAAATAAATCTGCATATGTAAAAGTTGAAGTACAGTTTATAGTAAATCTGGACATTTCTCATATTCCCACAGCACATGGAGTCATCATGAGGTGATTTCTCACAAATTCTGAATAGTTTAATGAACAATCGATCATGACTCATGAGATTAGTTGACCTCAGGGCTTTGCAGAGTAAAGAGAAAAAAAAGGAAATGCTACTAAATATAAACTTGAGTCACAGTTATCGACCTTTAAAAGTTTAGAGTAAAAAGGCTCAATACACTAATTTCCATGAGATTAATACTAAACAAAGTCAAAGAGGATATTTAGAATTAAATCCTGAAATGACATAAAAATGGAAATCCAAAACTGAATTTGGTGACTAATAAATCCAGACAGCGTTCTAGATTCGACTAAAATTTAACAGGCACTTCTTCAAAACAATGACAATATAAATAACAAAATTTCATTGTTAAATATAACCATCTCAAAAATGAATCCATGGAATACAAATCCTGGAATCAGATCTCAGTATCCCAATGGTTACGCACACGTCTTTCCACCAGAATGACGTGTTGACTCGATCCTAAAGCTAAAAAAATGGAGAAAAACATAGTTCAATCGCCTGCATAATTGCTAACTTCAAACCTATAGGAAACCAGTCGATTGAGCTTTACTAAAACACTTCAAAAACTCACCTCACCATCAATTTTCACTTGTTATGTCCCAAAATTGTCGCAACGGGAAATAAAACTCACAGAACTTCGAAAAATAAAATAATAAATCAGGTGCTCAAACTTAATAATTTAATTACCTCAGCAATTAAAACCGTACAATTTCCTTTAGGACTACGGATCTCATGTTCCGAGAAATTAACTTGATCAACGATATGAGGAAGGACGTCGGAAAAGAACTTCGAGCGAGCGTGATCGATTGGAAGCTTTTCGATTTCGCAAGTAATGTTGAAAACGGGAATGGCATGAAAGAAGTGAAGAAAATTTTGGGAGAATGAGAGATTATTTGGCGGCGGGAGGTGAGGGAGAGGGAGGCGGATGAAGTCTAAGTTCTGAACAGAGCTGCCGGCGGTGAAGTAGTTGGCGGAGACGAATCGGTTTCGCATCGCAAGTCACGTTTGATGTGTGAGTGTTTTTCGAAAGTTTTAACGGGTGGATTTTGCATTTATGAGCTTGGCGCTCTTTGAAAACGCGGTTTTGTATTTTCGTCCTCTACAGTCATTCTCCTTACTCCCATAGTTCGACAGTTATCTACACTATCAACGGTCCATTTTGCTTTTGTTTTTCTATACAAGAATTTTAGAGGAAGCCATCCTAATTTTTAAATCAAATTTTATTTAAAAAATTAACTTTTAAAAGAATTTTTTTTATTTCAAACGTGCTATTAGAGAAAATCACACGATTAATTTTCTCTAAAAATTATTCTATCTAAAAGAATCATTTTTCATAAAATTAGGCAAACGGGATCAAAAGCTATTTCAGAGTCTCAAAACCTCCTCTGAACTTTTCAAAAAAATGACAAACAAGCTCTAGCCGCTGGACAAAATACCCACATTAGTTGAAGTGTTTGAATGTGCATCATCTTTCGGCTAGCAAATGGAGGTGTTGCTCTCAAGCTCCTTTTTGACTCGGTCAATGAACTTTCAAATTTATATTGAGACAGCCATAAATTGAATCGAGCTTGAAAGTTCGACTAATGAGATCCACGATTTGTATCATGAGTCAAGCGCATCATTCAATTTCAACTCATGAGGTCTATAAGTCGATTCGTGAATCAGATAAATCATCGAATCTCAACTCGTGAGACCTACAAATCGACTCATGAATCAGGTAAATCGTCGTGAGCCGACTCGTGGATCGAGTGAATCATTCGTTAAGCAAACCGTGCAGGATTGAGAAAATTTTTCCCGATAATATCCACCATTGGCAATCTAGACATGTTGACAGTAGTTACATTACACTCCATACACTTGTCGCTCAAATAGCACCACCTCCATGCAAAGCTACCCTTTTTCTTTTTTTTTTACTTTTATAACTTCCCCTCTCTGAATTGAAATTAAAACAGACTTTTTTTTTTCCCTTATATTACCACTAAAAAAGGCAGAGAAAATGGAATCTCAATTGCACTGTCAGCATGGGCATCACGGCTATGAAGAAGAACCTAAACACTCTGGTGGGTGGAAGGAACTCTTCACTCTGGTTATATGCTTATAATTTTTTGCTTATTTGAGTTTGATTTGTTGTAGCAGTTGAAGGAGAATGTGAAGGTGAGCACCATCTTGGAGAAAAGAAATCAGTGCTGAAGCAGGTTAAAGATAAGGGAAAGAAAATCAAAGATACGATTAAGAAGCATGGACATGGGCACGAGCATGGATATAATCTAGAGGAAGAAGAGGAGGAATAGGAAGATGAAGACCAACAAATGATGGATGATCCACAATTGCATGGCTCCCCGAGTCTGTTTTCTACTTTTGCTTTTCTTTTTTCCTTACTTAGATTAACGTTAAGCCCTATTACGTGCTAAAATGGAATGTTACTGAATGTGTTTGTTCTATTGCTTGACTCAACGGTGATCAGAAGTGTAAATCTTGGACAAGGGATCACTCCGAGGCAAAACAGTGTCGATACGGAAAAATTGACTGATAGACACGAGGATACGTATAATAGAAATGTAAGGGATGAGGGAGAAACCCCGGATGGATTACTGGACATGGGGAGGACGACCGCCGTGGAGACCGAGGGGGAGGGCTACATCGAGGGAAAATGCACAGTTTCTCCTTGGTAAGGTTGCTGATTTCCCTGTTGTGGGCAGGGAAGAAGCAAACGTGGGGCAAACGAGGGTTAAAATTGGACAATCGGTTCATTCTTCTTCAGGAGCAATTCCGCCTTCAAATTATCAGTCCAAAGTGGTTGATCCAACAGGCACTGGTATTACATTTCCCTGGTTTTTATATCATGTCTTTGTTTGTTTTCTATTATGAAGGGTATGATTATATTTATCATTTGATTATATTTATCATTTATGAGTAAATTGACACGGTAGGTTATAGCTTATAAGCAGAATATAAATTGGGCACCTTTTCATTTTAAGGTCCTTTCTTTAAGATCAATTCCTAAAGAAAGAGTAGCTATTATGGTTTGTGACCTCTGATATGACTAGAATAAATTAGTGATTCTTGGCTGAGCCAATTACTCATTTGATGCCTAAAATAGGAGGGGGGGGGGGGGGGGGGGGGGAATGCTTTTCAATATCACCACCATCCGCCACTCTTTGCGCCACCACCAGAGGAATATATCTGATATCTCCCTAGTTTTCTCTCCCCTAGTGCTGTGGTGGTTTCACGAGATCGAAGGGGAGAGTAAAATTAGAACATCGTCCGGTCTAGAAAATCTTGAATCTACCCTGAAAAGACTAGATCCTGGAAAAACAGAGGACATGCCCCATGGCACGGTAACTGGAAAATTATCATATGCAACTTCTGCCCCATGACACAGTGACTGGAAAAACAGAGGACATGCCCCATGGCCATCTCTGCCAAGAATGTGGTGGCTTCAAAGCTCGGATATGGTGGACATGATGAAGGCCGAGATTCTCAAAATGGCACATCAGAATCTGCCAAGCCCGAGCGCAGCATTGCAGCTACCATGACAGAAAAACTGGCACCAGTTTATCGCAATGTGGCGGATGCCTCCAGTGCCGTAATATCAAAAGTTCAGGGAAGTGGAACTCAGGATGAAGGCGGAAATAGAGCAACCTACATTGGGAATGAGGGTAAAGGAACTGATAAGGGCATTTCCATGAAGGACTACTTGGCAGAGAAATTTAGGCCCGGCGATGAAGATAAGGCATTTTCAAATGCTATTTCGGGTGCACTCCACAAGAAGAAGGGTGAAACTGGGAAGCCAAAGGGGAAAGTGGCTGAATTGAAGCAAATGGCGAGGCATTTAGGCACTGGTAGTGAAAATAAAAGGGAAGGAGAAGATGCCCTGAGTGCTAGGAATGAAAGCAAAGGAACAGGCATGGTGGACAGGATTAAAGATACCATTGGTTCTTGGCTTGGCAAAAGTGCTGGACTGCAAACTGCTCAGGATTCACTTGCCTTGCCCAATCCCATGGTAAGTGAACCATAGTTTGAGTTTCTTTCTTAATATACATTAAGTTTCGGGGCAGCGGAGGCTGCAGGAATCGAACTACTGATGAACTATATAGACGTTGAAAGGCTTGTATTTTGGAATTCGATGTTTTTCTTGGTTCCAATGCGTTGTTTGCTTCGTTGTAATTGTGATTGGGTTTCGGTAAAACACTGCTTTTGACGATTATCAAAGTGCCCAGTGTGCTTTCATGGACATTGGTGAGGTATTTTGTTTTGTTTCCTTAATGTTACTATTAAAAGTATTTCAATAGTCAATGTGTCTAGCTTTGTTTCGAAAATTTGAAGGAAAATAAGATATTAGAAATTGTGATCTAATATAACAAAAAGGAAAGAGATGTTGGATAAAATTAATTAGTTGCAGTAGTGATCTGAACAATATAATACAGAAGTATAAAATTTATCGTCCAATCGAGTTTCGTGACAGCACGATGTCCTAAAGTGAAATTGCCCGTCAATAATTGCTGCGACCTCCGTGGACAATCACTCCCAGGATACAACGACTTTAAACCACTTGTGCAGCAATCACGAATGATTTTTTTAGAACTCTCAATTGTACTCCAGAATAAATGTAAAACCCGAATATAAGAAAATTCAGAATATGAAAAAGAGTGTTGATGCAAGATGATTTTTCTATTGTCTTTTTGTCTGTGTTTTTCCAAAACGAGATATGGGTTTATATAGGCAAGATGGTAGTAACAGTCTTCACCATATTAATGCAGAATTTTAATGACTGAGTAGTGGATGTTTTAATGGCTATTAGTGGGTTGTTACAAAAACAAACAGTCAGAAAATACTGGCTACTTTTACCCATTAAATAGTAAAGAGAAAAAAAAATAATTATTTTAGTCAAGGAAGCTCAAGGCCCCAATCAAGACATTTTAATATCTGCGTGGGGAGTGACTCGAACCCCTGACGTCCCACACAAATGTTACATTTCCCACCACTTTGACACTTTATTTAATTTGATTATTTCTTTCACATTTTATATTTATACCACAAATATATAACAATCCCCCATATGAAAGAAATAAGATAAATGAAAATATTACTTTGGAGTACGGTAGAAATCATGCAGGCTTAGGTGTCTATCGACTTGAACCTTGGCTTTGTATATTCTATCGAACTTACTAACTGTAGAGTGAACTATGTCTTGAACTCTACAATTATAGTTGCAAACTGAGACAATAGAACACACACGTGATTTCTAGAATAGTCACTGAGTTCTCGCGGTTGTGTTCATTTCGGCCGTGAACTTTCCCAATTTCTTTGAGTGCTCTAGAGAATTCGCCTCAATTCTCATAGGAAGCGGCCCCACTTCCACACTCAAATAGGTGCTACTATCAAGGGTGCACTGTATTTAAACACCCCACTGAATATCAGCTATAGTAAGCATTAAGAGTATTAACTCATCCTCTAATCAATACAGTTGGTACTACGCATCATAGGGAGGGGTTTGGAATAAATCCAATGTAGTACCTCCACTGACCACTCCAATAACTTTGTTGTCCCATTTAACCTTGACCATGGGATCTCCAATTGCAAGGTTGGGTTTCCATTATAGGTGATCTAATATATAATAGGCTTTAGCCCTATCCCTCTCGATGTTTGTTGAATTGTCTCTCTAGCCAATTCTTTGGTTAATGGGTCAGCAATGTTATCACTTGACTTTACATAGTCAATAGCTATAATCCCATCCTTAAGCAGTTGACGCACAGTATTGTGCCTCCTACGAATATGTCTAGACTTTCCATTGTAGGATGAATTTTGAGCTCTTGAGATAGCTGCTTGACTGTCACAATGTATTGAAATAGTTGGAAATGGTTTAGACCACAAAGAAACATCCATAAGAAATTCCTTAACCATTCAGCCTCCTTACCTGCCTTATCTAAAGTTATGAACTCAGATTCTATAGTAGATCTAGCAATGCAGGTTTGCTTAGTGGATTTCCAGGAGACAGCTCCGCCTGCTAATGTAAATACATATCCACTTTTAGATTTACTTTCATTGGTATCGAAAATCCAATTAGCATCACAATATCCTTCAAGGATAGCAGGGAATTTGGTATAATGTATTCCCCAGTGTAGAGTGTATCTCAAATACCTCAAAACTCGAATAAGAGCATCCCAATGTTCATTGTTAGGATTACTAGTATACCTGCTAAGTCTACCGACAGCATATGCTATATCAGGTCTTGCACAGTTCATGAGATACGTGAGACTGCCGATTACTTTAGCATACTCTAAAGCGAAAATACTAGGACCTGAATGTTTTCTCAAATGACGGCTTGCATCATAAGGTGTTTTAGCAGGAATACAGTTGTATTGATTAAACTTCTTAAGCACTTTTTCTACATAATGTGATTGGGTCAAAATAATTCCTTCAAAATGTTTTACTATTTTGATTCCTAGAATAACATTAGCAACACCCAAATTTTTCATTTCAAAGTGCTTGTTCAGAAACCGCTTAGTTTTATTAACCACATATAAACTAGTTCCCATAATCAGCATATCATCAACATATAAGCAAATTATCACACCACAATTATTTTCAAATTTGCTATATATGCATTTATCTGCTTCATTTATCACATAACCACTTGATGTCAAAACTGTATCAAATTTTTCGTGTCATTGCTTAGGAGCTTGTTTAAGGCCATAAAGGGATTTTTTAAGTCTACATACTTTATCCTCAAGGCCTTCTACAACAAATCCTTCAGGCTGATCCATATAAATCTCCTCTTCTAAGTTTCCATTTAAAAATGCAGTTTTGATATCCATTTGATATATAATAAGATCATACAGTGAGGCAATTGCAATTAACATCCTAATATATGTAATCCTAGTAACGGGTGAATAAGTATCAAAGAAGTTAACTCCTTCCTTTTGTTTATAGCCTTTAGCTACAAGTCTTGCTTTATACTTATCAATTGAACCATCAGGTTTAAGTTTTTTCTTAAACAACCATCTACACCCAATTGTCTTACATCCTTGAGGTAAGTCCACTAACTCCCAAGTATTATTAGACATAATTGAATCATATTCACTATTTACAGCTTCCTTCCAAAATATAGAATCTGGTGAAAACATAGTTTCACCAAAAGTACTAGGATCATCCTCTACTAAGTAGGTTATAAAGTCAGTACCGAAAGAAGTAGTGGTCCTAGGTCTTTTGCTTCTCCTAATTTCAGCTTCTTCTAATTCAGATGGCTCCTCTCTAACACTAGAAGGAATACTAAAAGAACTGCTTGATCCTTCAGACTTTTCTTTAAACGGAAATCTATTTTCAAAAAATTCAGCATCTCTAGTTTCAAATATTGTGTTCTTTTCAATCAAATTATTTTTAGAGTCAATGACTAAAAATTTGTAGGAATTACTATGAAAAGCATAGCCTATAAAAACACAATCAACAGTTTTCGGACCAAGTTTAGTTCTCTTAGATGCTGGAATAGAAACTCTAGCTAAACACCCCCACACTTTAAAATATTTATATGAAGGTGTTCTGCCCTTCCACATTTCATAAGGAGACTTATTATTTTTCTTACTAGAAATTCTGTTAAGAATATAACATGCAGTAAGAAGCGCTTCCCCCCACATGTTAAAAGGTAATCCATAAGAGCTTAGCATTGATATGACCATATCCTTAAGGGTTTGATTTTTCCTTTCAGCTACACCATTAGATTGTGGAGAATAAGGTAGAGTAGTCTCATGAATAATACCATTCTCAACACAAAATTTATCAAAATCTCCTGTATATTCTCCTTCCTTATCAGATCTTAAAACTTTAATAGTTTTGTCTAGCTGATTTTCTACTTCAATTTTATAGGAAATAAATTTTGAATAGCTTTCATCCTTACTCTTAAGTAGATAAATATAACAATATCGAGAATAATCATCAATGAAAGTTAAGAAATATTTATTTCCACCACGAGTAACATATCCTTTTAAGTCACATAAATTAGAATGTATCAATTAATTAGTTGCAGTAGTGATCTGAACAATATAATACAGAAATATAAAACTTATCGTCCGATCGAGTCTCGTGACAGCACGATGTCCTAAAGTGAAATTGCCTGTCAATAATTGCTGCGACCTCCGTGGACAATCACTCCGGGATATAACGATCTTAAACCACTTATGCAGCAATCACGAATGGTTTTTCTAGAACTCTCAATTGTACTCCAGAATAAATGTAAAACACGAATATAAGAAAATTCAGAATATGAAACGGAGTGTTGATGCAAGATGATTTTTCTATTGTCTTTTTGTCTGTGTTTTTCCAAAACGAGATATAGGTTTATATAGGCAAGATGGTAGTAACAGTCTTCACCATATTAATGTAGAATTTTAATGACTGAGTAGTGGATGTTTTAATGGCTGTTACAAAAACAAACAGTCAGAAAATACTGACTAGTTTTACCCATTAAATAGTAAAGACAAAAAAAATAATTATTTTAGTCAAGGAAGTCCAAGGCCCCAATCAAGACATTTTAATATCTGCGTGGGGAGTGACTCGAACCCCTGACGTCCCACATAAATGTTACATTTTCCACCACTTTGGCACTTTATCTAATTTGATTATTTTTTTCACATTTTATATTTATACCACAAATATATAACAAGAGATTCCAATGAAACCTATCTTCTATCAATTGGGGAGGGAAATTTATTTGGCATTTTATCGTTTTGAAAGTTTGAAAGAGGTATCAAATAAGTAAGAGTTTGTTGTTGGCAAAATCCGTTGTTAAAGAGATTGCTCAAGTATTTTAGGTCTCAGAAGTACATGATAAATATCGTCAAAGCTGAAGTTCTTGTCAATGCAATTTGAAGGTCAAATCTCCCTCGAACAAGTTTATTATATACTTTATGTTTTTATGTTTAAACATGTAAACGTATCATCGGAATATCGATTTTATTGACATGTCAAGATTAATGTTTTGTTCGCGTAGTTAAGAATTGAATTTTTAGTAGAGTTACGAAAATTGATGAAATGTATAGTTTAAAAATTGTTAAAATTTGCGAGTCATGGAATATGTGATCGGGGTCAAAATTATAAACTACTATCAATTTTTTTAGCTACATTAAATGGAGGCGTAGTTAATTTGTAATTTAGAACCTCGGGGCTAACTTCAGGTAAATAATTGTTTAGTTTTCTTTATTCATAAATATTAAAATAATGAAAACAACTAAAATTTAAGTTTCAAAAAATATTATTTTGTTATTAAATTAAGAGAAAAAGAAAAGAAGAAAAATAATATAGTCAAAATTCAAGTATATTTTTATTAAATTTTGCTATTTGTACATCAGCATGACACGCTACTCACATGAGAGAGGGGACCACGCCCAATGAAAAAAAGAAGCATGGGCTCCCCTTGTGTGAGAAGCATACAACGCGGATATATGTGTAGCGCAATTAATTTTTATTATAACAAGGACTTCCAAATAAGGTTACAACCGGAATTACAGTTTGGATTATCACAATCTTCTAGAATAAGAAAGACTCGTCTAAATATCGTGATTATAAGACTGATTCCACATTTGATCGGGCTTAAAAAGTTCATAAATTTTAATTAAATTAAGCAAATAATTTTAATCGCACATTTCATGGGATTCGTAATTTTATCAACTTTTCAACAATATATTTCATCAATTTTTATAAAAATTTACTAATAATATATATATATTTTTTTAACTACATCAAATAGAGGCTAATAGATTATCCCATAATTTACAACATTCCCTCCTAATGACTATTTGTACAGTAATAACTTCGTTAAAAAATTAGTTTCAAAAAAAAATAATGGGATAAAAATTCCTAACGAATAACAAAAAAAAAAAAAAGTCGATTCACTATAAAAGAAAATATTTGTAATAATAAAATGATGCATCGTTAAAACTTTGTCAAGACATGGGACAAAACTTGAGCGAGAGAAAAATAATATAGTTACTCTCTTTGATTTTAATTATTGTATCGAGAAATCTATGTCTTAGACGCATATATCTACAATATCACCATTCTGTTGAAATATATTTTCATGTTATAACCTTGAATAATATCATCTTCATATAACATATTTATCAATATTTGATAACTATAGTAACTTGATGGTTTCGGTAAAAATATATCTTGTCGGTCACTTCAAAAATGTCATACAATTTTTTTATTTACAAGAGTATTATTTTGAATAAATATCTTTTAGATTATAGATATTCATAGATGGTCTTTTTTTGGGAGCTAAACTAGAACTAGATAGAATCGATTTTTTTTTGTTTCGATTCCTCTATTGAACGAGTCAATTTTGGGATCATGAATTGAGAACTCTTCGATCTCTAGTCCGATTTGGTACTACCTTGAGAACTAATAATGTATTTGATTTTTGCGGTAAATGGAAGTAAATCACTCTTTTGGAGACTACAAGGCCAGTTTGATAGCTTGAGTTTTCCATGGAAAATCCATTTTTACCAAAATTGAGTGTTTGATAACAAACTTTTCCTTGGAATTACAATTCCTCGAAACACTTCACGTGACTGGCTTTTCCATGATTTGAAGGAATTAGTTTTCTTTGGGTTTTGGTGGGAAAATATCTTTTTCCATCCCCCCCCCCCCCCCCCCCCCCCTTAGCAATAAGAACAAATTTTGTTCATAATTGTAAGAAATTATATCTCTTTAATTGACAATTTTCGTGGAAACAAAGTCAAATGAATATTAAAAGATTCATTCAAATTTTTTCATGTGAAAAATTATACCAATCAAATACACATTCAAAATAAGTTATAGACAATTTAATTCTCTAGAATTCGTTTTCTTTTCACCTAAATTTCAATTCAAATGGAACTTAAAGTGTTGAAGATCCAAATATTAAGAAACAAAACACAAAAAATAAGAAATAAAAAAACAAAAGGGAGTTTTTTAATTTATAAATGGAGGGTTCAGATTTCGCGAAATTTCTCTGACCCCCAAATTCTGTACACTCAGAATTTTTGGTTTTTCATACGGTGGAGATTTCAGTATTTCGTTTTCACCGTTCCCCATAAAGAGCTACTCTCTGCATCTCCTTACCAGTTTGAATCGTAAACTTCCCTGAAGCAGAACCCAAAATCACTGGCCAGATGAAAAGACCACGAAGGACGCACTAAAATTTCTATTTCCAGATAAGTCCTTTCGCCCTCCACATACTTCAAAACCCACACTTTTCCGTTTTCTAAAACCCTCACGATTGTTCCTCACCCAATTCAATCTGGGCTTCAGTTGACACAAACAACAAAGAGCTCATAATTTTATGCCCAATGAATGATCTTGTCTCTCAGTATTCTATTTAATGGGTAGTTTTCGATTTGTTGAACTGCACATTTTGGAAGTCTCTGTGCTTGGATTTAGGTATCATTACATTGGCTTTTTTGCATATCTGGCTGCTAATGAACTACAGGTATAATGGGTTCTTTCATTTGTAATATACTTTTGTCATGTACTCTGTAGCTCTTTCTGGTCCAAGAATTTTCAAGGGATTGTCTTGTTTTTGCACATTTTTTCGCCGTGTATGTAGTCGAAATTTTATTGGTGATGATGTCCAAAATGGGTCTGCCAGAGTAGAGGATTTTCTTAATGAATCTTGGAAAAGTTCGAGTGCTGAGTACAATGTGGATGATGAAAAGACTGCAACTTTATATGATTCAATTGGTTCTTCGATGGTCAATGGTGATTTTGAAGGCCCTTCTCAGTCAAACTTCTCAGGAAAACAGAAATTCGTTGATGAGGTGAGAAGCGATGCTGCAAGAATTCTTGAAATTCTCCATCAAGATGGTCCTGGAGTCGACGTGAAAGCTAATTTAAGTGATTTAGGTGTAAGGGTTTCGGGTCTTCTTGTGAGAGAAGTTCTCTATGGTATCTTGAAAACAAGAAATCACATAAACAAAAACAGGAGCGCAAAGCTGGGATACAAGTTTTTTGTGTGGTCTGGCGAACAAGAGAACTACAGACACACGGCAAATGCATACCACTTGATAATGAAGATATTTGCAGAGTCAGAGGAATATAAGGCAATGTGGCGATTAGTTGATGATATGATTGAGAAAGGGTACCCAACTACTGCACGCACTTTCAATATATTGATATGTACGTGTGGCGAGGCTGGATTAGCTAGAAAAGTTGTAGAGAGGTTTATAAAGTCAAAGACGTTTAATTACAGGCCATTTAAGAATTCATTTAATGCAATTTTACATTCTCTTTTGACAATTAATCAGTACGGGTTGATTGAGTGGGTGTATCAGCAGATGTTAGTAGAAGGTCATTCCCCTGACGTGTTAACTTATAATATCATTATGTCTGCAAAGTTTAAGTTGGGGAAGCTGGATCAGTTTCACAGATTACTTGATGAAATGGGCAGGAATGGATTTTCCCCTGATTTTCATACATTCAGTCTCCTTCTCCATGTTCTTGGTAAAGGGGACAAGCCTCTGGCAGCAATTAATCTTTTGAATCACATGAAGGAAGTGGATATTGATCCAAGCATTCTCCACTTCACCACATTGATAGATGGGCTCAGTCGTGCTGGCAATATGGATGCCTGCCAGTATTTCTTCAATGAAATGATAAAGCACGGGTTCATGCCGGATGTTGTCTGTTACACTGTCATGGTAACAGGTTATGTTGTATCGGGCGAGATTGATAAGGCTCAGGATATGTTTTCAGAGATGATCAGCAAGGGGCAATTGCCAAATGTGTTTACGTATAATTCCATGATCCGAGGGCTTTGTGTGGTAGGGAAGTTTGAAGAGGCTCTCTTGATGTTGAAAGAGATGGAATCAAAAGGTTGTAATCCAAATTTTCTCGTGTACTGTACGTTAGTCAGTTATTTGCGACATGCAGGAAAGCTGTCTGAAGCTCATGAAATCATAAGAAATATGATGGAAAAGGGGCAGTATATTCATCTCCTGTCAAAGATCAAAAGATATAGAAGATTCTAAGAAGATAAAGTTCATAAATTAGGGAAATTAGTTGTAAAAGAAATTGATATTGATAGGGTGTTCATTCATAAGCTGATCTTTAACTGCCGTATGTTTCTGTGCAATGTAAGTTTCAGCAACATCTACAATTTTGATTACCTTTCCTAATAATATGACTTTTCTTCCGTTCTGTTTGTTTTCCAACTTATGATTTTGATTGCATTGGACTAATATAAGGAAACTATTAAAACAGCGCCTCATTCATCTGTGAGTTGCTTGCTTAACTATCATTCTTTCAGTGGTATCTCTTCTAGGATCCTCTTGATGGACTTTCAGCATCAATATGGGGGCATTGCTTGTACTCTTTTCCATGTCAGGAACTGCGGAAAACAGTATCAGTGAAAATAGTAGTTTATATTAATTTTATTGAAAATGAACATTTCCATAGTGTTTTTTCTTCTTCTTCTCTGATGCTACTTTTAGATTAACACGTTTTCCATGTCTTCTGTCATCTCTTCTTCAATCCTTTTCAAGTGTGGGGAAGGATGAAAGGATCAGCGTCACAAACACAGAGCTCCAACTTTTGATAAATTCATGCTCTTTTCTTTTTGGCTCCAACTAAGAAGAATGTTACTTGTTGTCTTTTGCTTTCTTTTCAAAACGATATTTTTATAGGTTTAAATTTTCTACCCTCATTTTTACCTTTGTTATTCTGTTTCTGCATATCTTCTAGGATTTCCTCAATTGCTTATCTTAGCTTTATTTAGTTACTTTGTACAAGTTAGAGATCTTTGATTGCAGTGTTGACATATATATGCTCTGGCCAATCTAAATTCTGGTGATTGCATGATTTCTACTCATTGAGCAAGCTGTAAGTTTGTCTTTACTTAGATCATGTGTTACTTTTCCATTTTTCATCAATAAATTTCTTCGATCAGAAAAATGATTATTGACACAGATGTGACATAATACCTGTGCAACTTTCTGGAAAATCTTATAAGAATTTGACATGGATCATATTGATGTATGATTCGTATATATAAGACCATGTCAGCATGATCTGCATGTCTATATATAATATATCAAACCAACAGAATCGTAAAGCCATTTCAACCATTCTACATGTATGTATGTGTTGTATGCATGCCATGCAAAACTTACATGCACATGCTTGGCTAAGCTTACAGATTTTAGTTATAAGTAAATGAGTAAGTTTAAAAAATATATCTTCTATTGATCAAAATTGAAAATAAGTTAGTTGTTATTGAAAGTTAAGAGCTACCCCTAAAAAAAAACCAGCTACCATCGCTTGGGACCTGGACCTATATATAGGTCCTACACTTCATGAAGAGGAGGAATAAAGTCATTTGAAAGTTGATTTAATCATGCCTTTAACCGATATTTTAATCCTTATGAACGAAGCAGATAATTTTACATAGAAAGAAAATCTTGCAAGCGTAAATTGTCTATATAACATGTACATGCACCAGTACTCAATATCACATTCAATGATCTATATTGTTTCTGGCGTTCAGGAATTGTCAAGACTTTCTTCTGGCATTTAGATGAATTTGTTTAAATTTTTCCGGAGTAATCTGCTTATTTGTATTCTGAATGGCTTCTATTAGTTTTTATTTTTATTTTTTATTTATTTTTTTTATTGAGCATCCCTGTTTTACACCTTTGAGTATGGGCTTCCTCTCTAAGTCGCTTTATGTTTGTGAGTGGACAATGGATGAGAATGTAAAGCCAATAGGTTTGAAGAATAACTACATTTTGAGGTGTTCTTCATCGACAATGGATGAGAATG